AACCCGAGGCACTCTGCCACTGAGCTAATCTCCAACCTTTTTAATTTTGAGACAAGGCCTCATTGAATTGCCCAAGATGGCCTCAAGCTTGCAATCCTCCTGCCTTGGCCTTCAGAGTCGCTGGAATTACAGGTGTCACCCCTGAGTTGGCATTTGACTGTCTTACCTGTGGGCACCTGGTTCCCGAGACCCTTTCTTGGCCACTGAGGGGGCAGATCTGAAGGGGGCTTCTTTCGACTTTATGGAGAAGCAACTTTTTTTTGTTTTTTTTTTTGTTTTTTTTTTGTCCTGGGGATTGAACCCAGGAGTGCTGTAGTTCATTCCCCAGCACCATTTCAAAATTGCATTTTAAGGCAGGATCTCACTAAATTGCCCAGGCTGGCCTTGAACTTATGATCCTCCTCCTCCACTTCCTGAGAAGCTGAGATTATAGGCCAGTACCACCGAGCCCAGCAAGTCCCAACTTTTCTATACCACCCACATTGCACTGTGTCCTCCCTTTCCAGCCTCCTCCCCAAACCACCCACCAGGAATCCCGGGAGGGKGCCCCAGGACATCCTGCCAGCTCTCACCTCTAGTTTTGCAAAGCCCCCAAGAAAACCTCTCCCTTTTCCGTGACCCCTGGCAGTCCTYGCTTCCACATAGGTGACTCTTGATAGGAACCTTTAGGCCAGGACCTAACTGCCCTAACAGTGACTCCACTGGAGCAGTAGACTGTCCTTGAACCTCTCTGCAGGATCCTTTCTGTCCCCCCATTGGTCTAACTGGGCACAGCCTGTGAGCAAGTCTTTCCTTGGGGACAGAGTTCTGGGGGTAAAGTGGGAACRCTGTGGGGCTGCTGACCTTGACATTGTGTGGGAGGCCTGTGCTCACTGGCTTAGAGTATCAGCAGTTACTGCCAACCCCACCAAATAATTAAGGTTGCATGGCAGGGGACAYAGAAGTGTAGAAAAGAGCCGGGACTATTATGTCCCTGTTGTAAGTTATATTTATGTGAAATTGTTTAAAATGCAGGCTGGGAGTGTAGCTCAGTGGTAGAACRCTAGCCTAGCCTTCTCAAGGCCACCAAAGAGAGAGAAAGAAATAGGTGGAAGTTTAAAATAGCTTAGTATGTGTGGGGGACGGAGGGTTTCTAAGAGGACAGCTGTGAGGGAGGACAGGGACTGTTGGGGAGGCCCCTGGGGTGGCAGCTCCTGTGGGCACTGGGAGGAAAAGGAGGGAGATGACTGGCGCCAGGGTGTGCCCACCCCACCTCCCTGGTTTCCCCAAATGGCCCTGACTTTAAATATTTTGACTAGGGGCTGGGGATGTGGCTCAAGTGGTAGCGCGCTCGCCTGGCACGCGGGTTCGATCCTCAGCACCACATACCAACAAAGATGTTGTGTCCGCCGAAAACTAAAAAATAAATATTAAAAAATAATAATAATAAATAAATATTTTGACTAAGTTGCCATTTCACGGAAAACAAACAAAAAAATTCCAGAGTGGAATTTATTTCTAGAACATGGCTCCTGATCTTTGGAAAACTCATGTCCCCTCCTGGTGGACAMCCAAGGAAGCCTCTTATCTGGGTTCTTGGAGGGCCAGGACCCCTGCCCCCATCATGGACCCAATGGCAGGAGAAGGGTTCTGGGAGGTCAGAAGTCAGGGACCTGCTGTGGTTAGGGGATTGGTGGGCAGCGCTTTCAGAATCTGTACCAGGTAGGACCCTGACCGAGCAGGGCGGTGCCAGGCTTGTGCCCTCTGCAGACAAGCAGAAGGAAAGGGCGGGCTCAGCCGCCCCCTGCTGGTTGCAGTCAGAGCAGCACAAGCAGCACAAGACCAGGGGTGTGCTTGACCCCACAATGTCAGCCGCTTGAGTTAAAGAGGAACAGGGTCTCTGCGCAGGCCTATAAGCCTAGTTGCTTAGGAAGTTGAGGCAGGAGGATGGCAAGTTCAAAGCCAGTTTCAGCAATTTAGCGAGGCCCTAAGCAACTTAGRGAGAACTTGTCTCAAAAAATAAAAGGGGATGTGGCTCAGTGGTTAAGCACTCTGGGATTCAATCCCTGGTTAAAAAAACAAAACAAAAAAACCAAACAACTTAAAACTTGCTGCTTAAGATTACTAAAGTTCTAGGGCTGGGGATGTAGCTCAGTTGGTAAAGTGCTGCCTCACATGCACAAGGTCCTGGGTTCAATCCGGAGCCCCACACACACACCAACAAAAAAAAAAAAAAGAGAGAGAGAGACTAAAGGTCTGGGACCCAGGCACACCCTGCACGACCATTCTGGGTTAAATTGGGTAAACTGGGGGCTGGGGCTCAGTGGTAAAGTGCACAAGGCACTGGGTTSGATCCTCTCAGCACCACATAAATGTAAAATAAAGATATTGTGTCCACCTAAAACTGAAGAATAAATATTTTTAAAATAAATAAATAAATACATTGGGTAAACTGGCAGCCTTCGCTGAGATACGGGCTGTACTGGAGCAGGGAAGTGCCCGTTGGCTCAGAAGCTTCCCYGCCAAGGAGAAGGACAAGCAGTGAGTCTGTCCTGGGGTCTGCCCCTCCCCTGAGTCAGGCGGTCAGTGTCAGGCTCCAAGGTCACAGCCCAGGCTTTCCTAAAGCCCTCTCGGTTTGTGCCTTTACCTCCACCTTGCTGAGCCTGGAGGGCTCCTCCAGAAAGACTTCTTTCRTCCCCAACCCTCTCCTTGTCCATTACCCTTCCTGGTTGTCTTGTGTTGGGTGTGGCCAGCTTCTCTGTCATGTGCTGCCTGTGTGTGTAGATGCAAGTGGGAACACAGGGGAAACGCAGCCAGCAGGGCTTGGGCTTGGGGGCACACTCCTGTAACTCAGGACAGGAGGCTGAGGCAGGAGGATTGCAAGCCCCAGGCCRGCCTSGGCGACTTAGTGAGGCTATCTCAAAATAAAAACTAACAAGGGCTGAAGATGTAGCTTGGTGGTAGTGCTCCTGAGTTCAATCCCCTCCTCGCAACCCCCGAAATGCCTTATGACCTCAAAAGCAGAGACTACACAAGCCCAGGAAGGCGACCAGGAACTGAAGAGGTCCMTGTCCACATCTTTTTGGGGTGGGGGTGCTGGGGATGGGACCCAGAGCCTCACGCGTGCTAGGCAAGTGYTCTAGCACCAACCCACACAGGTCACCTCTACCTAGCATCTTGCTTATGGGATCTGACCTCTGGAAGTGTGACTTAATTTCTGTCCTGTTGAGCCACCCAGTGAGTGGGACTTTATGAGGGCAGCCCTAGGAAACTCGGGAAGCCGGGAATGGAATGRCATTTTGGGGAGGGGAACCATCATTCCTCCTGAGCACTTCCCGTCGCCCTGCACACACGGCAATGGGGAAGCAGCTGGACGACAGCTCCCATCTTAGAGATGAGAAAAGGAGTCCCAGGAAGGTGATGTGACTCACCCAAGGCCACACAGCAGGGAGGCTGAGAGACAATGAACAGGGTCTTGGCCCTGCAAGCATGGAGGGTGGACAGGGGTCCAGCCTGACAGGTTCAGGTTTTGGGGAGGGTAAGGAGCTGTGGGCTGGGGTGCGCTAGGAAGCCAAGACAGGGGGGGAAGAGGAGGACACCTGGACATTCAAGAGAGAGGAGCCTACTTGAGCAAAGGTCCCCAGGCAGGAGAAGGCAAGTCTGTTCTAGAAACAAATGGATTCAGTGTATTTACCAGGCAGAGGCCAAGCCAGGACTTGTGGGGCCTCACACATACCTTTTTTTTTTTTCACCCCAGCACTGGGGATCAAACCCAGGAATCCAGGGTGCTTTACTACTGAACTATATCTCCAGTCCTTTTTGAGATAGAGTCTAAGTTACTGAGGCTGGCCTCCAACCTGTGGTCCTCCTGCCTCAGCCTCCAGAGTAGCTAGGATTATAGGTATGTGCYACTACAGCAGGTATCAGCTGACTTCAACAGGAGGATTATCTTGGATTATTTAAATTGATCCTATGTCATCACAGGGTCCTTAYAGGCTGAAGAGGGACCAGAACAGTTGGAGGAAGACATGTGAGGGTGGATGTTTAACATGTGTGACGTGAGGACTCAGCTGTCATTAGCCTTGAGGGCTAATGAGAAAGGGGCCAGCACCCAAGAAATAYAGTGGCCTCAGCAGCTGGCCAAGACTGTTTTCTGGAGCCTCGGGAGTCAGTCCAGTCCCTCGTGACCAAGCTGAATTTCTCACCTGCAGAACTGCGCGATCCTGGATGCTCTGGTGTAAGCCATTAAGACTGTGGTGACTGTTCACAGAAGTGACAGGAAACTGACACTGGGGGTGGGACACAGCAGGTCTGGGGTCATACACCATGTTACCACTGGCCTGGGCTGCTCCTATGGCCCTCTTCTTCCTCCCAGCTTCCCACAGAACAGAAATGTGAAAGAGTTGACTGCTGCTGCCCACCCACCCATGCCAGCACTAAAGTGCCCGACAACCCTTCGAGGTGGGCACTRTTATTATTTCCAACTGAAAATTCAAGAAACAGACCCAACTCAGAGTCTCATGCAGTACCTGTGGTCATGGCATCCTGTGTCTGGATCAGGCAGAGGCCACACAGTGCACAAGGCACCATTCACTGTCAGGGATGTCCAGGAGACAGCCCCGGTCTCAGAACCACACTGCTGTGGGAGCACGTGCCCCCCCCATCTCTAGGACCCCTCCCTGTTGGAGAAGCCTGTGTCAAAGCCTGGGTCACTGCTGGGCAGACCCCTCAAGGCCCACTGTGCTCCAGGGTGGGTGTGACACTGTCCCTGCCCTCCAAACTGGGTGCTGCTAACAGGATCTGAGGGGAACAAATGGCCTCTGGCTAGGCCCAGGGTACAAGGAGCCCAAGGCAGGGTATGGGACTCTGCAGAGCCCACCTGAATCACCCTTCCCTGGGGGCGCCAGTGGACCACCAGGGCTGGTGGGGCGGCCCTGAGGGCTTGACACGTACTTAGTAAAAACCAAACGGGCAGCGGGCAATCAAGTCCCAGGCTGCAATAACACACCCTCAGTATTTCATAAACCACTCCAAAGTTTGCCAGAAATGGGTTTATTAATAAGTCACAKGATACAAAAGAATGAGGACATTTGGAGGACATTTAGTAGAATACTGCTTTGTCCCAAAGGGCAAGCAGAGAAGGTTAAGGCACAATGGATGCTTAGGAAGTGAGAAAGGCTGAAGGGAAACATGCAGTGTTTGTACCCGGATGCACACCGGCCACGCCCCTCGGCCATCAGATAAGAATACAGTGCARTGACAGTCAGTAGGCCCCAAGTGACCAGAGGGCTGGAGCTGAGGGACAGCTGGCRGCTCCAAGAGGTCACATGACTCCAGGAGGGGCAGCAGGACACAGCAGCTCATGCTGTCCCGCAGCAGGGACACCCCAACAGGCTGAAGAAGCCTCCCGGGCCTCCTCTTTCCACTTATTCACTATGACAATAATGTYCCTGCTGCGGGAGGCAGAACCGCCTTGAAACATCTGGGCCTCACAAGCTACCAAGGGAGGTGAGCGGATCTCATTTTTGTAGCACGAGAGGTGTGCACTTCCCCGCTGTCCCCTGGGAAGGGACTGCAGAGCAAGCCCTGTGCCACCCAGGCCTGCTCTCCTGGCACTGAGAGCCACAGACCACAGACAAGCCCAAGGGCCAGGAAAGCCCTCCCTCTAGAGCCTGGCTCCTCCCAGATAATTCCCATCACAAAGCCACTGCTGCCAGGACAAAACTGGGACAGCAGGCAGCACCTGTATCCAAGTCCCCTTCAGCCCAGCACTGCTGAAGGCACACTCAGCTCTGAGGAGCAGAGGGCGCCTCCTGGTGCCGGCAAGGTTCACAGGCTGCACCAAAGCAGGGGAGGGGGACCCCACCTGCTGCAGACGCCTGGCCCCGGGGTGGGGCAACGGCCTGGGCCTAGGAGAGTGACAGAGGGCTTTCAGGAGATGTCCCCAGTGTGGAGTGTGGGTCTGGTGGGCTTGCTGGACAAGCCAGCCACTTCCCAGCAGTGACATTAAAGACTTAGTATCCTGTGTGCCCACAGGGTCACCTGAGTGCAGGGGGYACCCTGCCAGTCCCATTCAGCCAGGCAGGGGTGCCAGGGGGACCTCACCTTCTTYGTCATGGTCCAGTCCCAGGAGGCCCTCCCACTTCCTCGGAGTGCCAGCCCACCCTGTGGTGTGGGTGGAATGCCGCAGAAGGAATGCCAGACATGGTCACCCAAGTCCAGGGGAAAACCTGCAGGTCCAGCCCTGATCCTCGGCCCTCAAAGCTGCCAGCAGTACTTTCAGAGCGGAGGACACCGTCCACCTTGAGATGGGCATGAAGGTGTGCCTGGGGTATGAGGGGGCAGCTGGGGCCCCATCAGGTGGTCCTGAGACAGCAGCTGAGCCCAGAGTCCAGGCAAGGGAGGGCAGGTTGTCATAGGGACCTGAGGAGGCCGCTGGCCAGCGCTGCAGTCCAGTATGATCCCAGGCACAGGAACCACCTCTCCACGGTCTGGCACATCAGGCCCTGAATGGCCAAGGCGGCTTCCGCCACACGCTCAGCTCTGGAGACGATGCGGCCTGGCCCTGGCCTGGGAGGATGGCTGCCCTCAGCCCTGCTCCGGGCTGTCGGTGGGCTGCACCACGGTGTAGCTGCCCTGGCTCGTGGAGAGCTGCCGGCTGAAGAAGGACGTGGTGCGCCTCGGCTTCACCCGCTTGATGCCCTTGCCTACGGGGAAGCCAGAGGCACGTGCTGAGGCCCCAGGAAGCCGTGTCTGTCTCCAGTGCACAGCTCTCTTGGGGCCTGTCTGGACTGAGCACCCACTTTAGACCCATCCACCCTCCAGCTCTACCACAGGTAACAGGATGCGGGGGGACACGTGGCTCCAAATCCCAGGCAGTGGCCCTGTGCTTTATCATGGGCCAGCAGAGCTGTCCGAGGAACCTGCCCTAAACCTTTTCAACTGACCAAAGAAGCCAAATTCCTGCCACGGACACAAGTGACTAAAGGCAAACCCAGGAAACAAAGAATTCTCTCAAGTTACTGACGTCAAGCTAGGCGATCAAGGTCGACGGCTAGCCGCATGCAGACAGTGGGCACCTTTGACAGCGATACAGACAGCACTGGCCTCTGTGGTCTTCCTCCCCCAGAACTCAGGAGCCCAGGTGACAGACCAACCCCAGCACGGGCTTTCTACCAAAGACTCAACTGGTATGACACAGTCGGGGTCACCAAATAAGGAAAGTCTGAGAAACTGTCACAGCCAAGAGAAGCCTAAGGAGACAACTAATTGTGATGTCTCTTGGCTAGGACCCTGAGACAGAAGGCCATTAGGCAAAAACCAAGGAAATCAGAACGAAGTGTGAGCTTCCGTTAACAATAACATCAAAATCTAGTTGTTATACATCCCCTATTCRTGTAAGATGTTCACTGTGTTGTCTTTGCAGGGCTGGAGTCAGAGCCCAGGGTCCACTGATCTCAAGACGTTAAAAAAAAAAAAAGCAACAGAACAAAAATGGGCAAAAGAAATGAACAGTCATTCATGAAGGAAATATACATGTGTACAGGTGCATGAAAATGCTCCGATTTCACTGGTACTCGGACACCAAGAGTTCTCTCCAAGGCAGACATGGCCAGTGTGGGTGAAGGTGGAGAGGGCTGCTGTCTCTGATGGGAGGGCACGGATGGGCACAGCCCCTCTGGAAGGTGGCAGGTATCCAAAGTCTTACCCTGCACACCCTCGGACCTAGGAGGTCCACTCCCAGGAATTTACTCTTAGGAGACAGTTCAGAATCCAAGGAAGAAATCAGTTATAGGTAAGTTGTCTATGATAACCAGCTGGAAATAAGACCAAAATAACATGCTTGTTGGTTAAAAAAAAAAAAATTTTTTCTGGTGCTAAGGATTAAACCTAGGGGCACTCTGCCACTGAGCTATGTCCCCAGCCCTTTCAATTTTATTTTGGGACAGGGTCTCCCTAAGTTGCTGAAGCTGGCCTCCTGCCTCCTAAAATGCTGGGATTAAGGTGTGCACCACTTTGCCTGGCTTCACATTAAAAAATTTAAATGCACTGGGCATGGTGATGCACACCTGAAATCCCAGCAACTCAGGAGGCTGAGGCAGGATGATCCTAGTTCAAAGCCACCTCAGCAACTTAGCACAGCCCTAAGCAACTTAGAACTTTTCTCAAAAAATAAGAAAAGTCCCTAGCACACGCGAGACCCAGGTTCGATCCTCAGCACCACATAAAAATAAAGGCATTGTGTTGTGTCCATCTACAAAAAGATTCTCTCTAAAAATAAATAAATAAATAAATAAAATAAAACAAGGGCTGGGACTAGTCATGGTGGTGCCCACCTGTAATCCCAGTGGCTGGGGAGGCTGAGTCAGGAGGATCCTGAGTTCAAAGCCAGCCTTAGCAATGGTGGTATGCTAAGCAACTCAGTGAGACCCTATCTCTAAAAGAAAAATACAAAATAGGGCTGGGGATGTGGCTCAGTGGTCGAGTGCCCGAGTTCAATCCCAGTAACCAAAAAAAAAAAAAAAAAGAAAGAAAGAAATTTAAATGCTACCAAGATGTACAAAGAACCTAGGCGTGGCAGTGCACGCAGGCTAACCCATGGCTCCAGAGCTTTCCACCCACGGAGTCCCTGGGGCATGCGTGAGTGTGCGTGCGCAGATGTGATGGGTGGCTCACCGTCCTCCACGTAGTCAATGGTGGAGAGATGCTGGATCCGGCTGCACACCACGCTGCCCTGCCTCCGCAGCTTGGGGCGCTGAGTGGGAGGTGGTGAGGGCCCCGYGGCCGAGCGGGGACCAGATGTGCTTTCCTGGGGAGCAGCGGGCTCTGAGGCCAGGTTCAGCTCGATGCAGTACTCAATGAGGCCACTCATCAGCTCGGCCTGGGAGAGGAGCAGGGCCAGCGTRAGGCCTGTGGCCCAGCCTTGCCATGGCCATGGCCATGGCTAAGTGACATCAGATATATAGACCCAAGGCCCTGCCCTCTTGGAGGGTGGGGGCAGTGGCGAGGAGGTGGGAGGACTTAGGAACCACACCATTCCCAAGGCAGGAAGGAGGGCTGCAGTGGGGGCTCTGGGGACCAGGGGGCAGGAGAGGTGTCCCACATGAAGACTCCAGAGGTGAGGCCGGGTACACTGGGCATGGTGACACACATCTGTAATCCCAGTGACTCAGGAGGCTGAGGCAGGGTCCCCTGGTCTGGGAGGTGATGTGGAAAAGAAAGAACATTCCAGTCAGAAGGTGCAGCCTGGGAAGGCTGCCTGTGTGGGCTGGAGCAGGAGGAGAAGCCCGGCTGGGCTTCCAGAAACTCAGCAGCTCCAGAGAGGATGAGGAAGGGAGGGGGCACTCGGCTACAGAAAGCCACTGTGTGCTGGCTGGGAGCACCTGCAGGCCTGGGGAAGTGGGGTGTTGTCACTGGTGGGGGTGGCTCCCTCTGAGCACATTCTTCAAGTGACATCTTCTAATATATTTAAAAACAGAATGCACACTGACATAAAAGGTGAGGAMGCCAGATGTCTGCGGCCATAGCTGGGCACAATACAGAGACCTCGGTTTCTCAGGGTGTCACAGACAGAAGGCTGTCCAAGGATGGTACCCCTTTGAGCATCTACTGTGAGCCAGGTGTTGCTGCAGGGACTGGGAAATGGCCGGGGGAGTCAAGCTCTTGTGCTTCCGAGGAGAGGCCCCCAGGACCAAGAACTGATTGTGGAGATGGGCTGGGTACCTGCTGGTAGCCCCTGTACTGGTCCAGCCCAACTCTCCCCAGTGTGGCCTGAGGCCTCAGCAACAGCACAGCGTGCCCTGGGAGGAGTGGGAGAGTGGGCAGTTCCCTGGCCCGAGAGGAAGAGCAGCAGCTGAGGCCTAGTTTCCACACTGCCCTCTGGGCATGTCCACAGGTGGCARCTGGGGGGGACAGTCCTACATGAACTGCAAACACAATGAGGAGCACCCTAAGCTCCTTGGAACAAGAGCTGAGGCAGAGCTTAATGCTTGGGGGGTCACAATGCAACCCCCATTCACAACACCCCTTCACAGAACTGCACTCTCCAGGCCCTGGGGATGACCGGCATGCCAGGCTCCTCAGTCCCAGGAAGGGGCTAGGAGGAGCCTACAGCTAAGGCCGCTCTCACATTGGGCAAACCAGGCCTTCCCACAGACCAGGGCAGGCTGGGATGTCCGCTCAGTCTGTGAACACCAGGCAGGATAAACGACAGACAAATCAGAAGGTGACAACTCTGTCCCCATTCACAAACAATATAATGGCCTGCAGGAAAACTACCAGACTAGGTGAGTGAGCTGAACAAGGCTGCAGAATACATGGCTGCCATCCATGTGCCGCAGCGAATGAAATCAAAAAGGCAAGACACAGAGCAGAGGGCAAAAAATGGAAAAGAAAAGGGCATAAAGCTAACAAAATGCTAATGAAAGAAACCAAAGACAATTAAATGGAGGAGACACAGAAATAAGTGGGGGCTGGGGGTGTGGCTCAGTGGTACAGCACTTGCCTAGCACACATGAGRCCCAGGGTTCCATCCTCAGAACCCCCCCCACCCCAAAGTAGAAATGAGTGGACTGAAGCCAGTCAGTTATCTCCAAAGTTGTCAATGCAATCTTAATCAAAATCCAGGTGGTGCCCAGCTACTTGAGAGGCTGGGGCAGGAGGATCCCAAGTTCAAGGCAACTTATTAAGATCCCGTTTAAAAATAAGAATTAAAAGAACTAGAGATGTAGCTCATTGGTAGATTCTTGGGATCAATTCCCAGTATCAAAAAACAAAAACAAATCCCGGGTAGTGGATTCTTGGGGTGGGTGGGGGGCGGACAGGAGAAGGGTAGAAATCAGCGTGCTGATTCTAAAATTCATATGGAGGGCTGGGGCCATGGCTCAGTGGTAGAGCGCTTGCCTAGCATGTGAGAGACCCTGGGTACAATCCTCAACAACACATAACACAAAAATAAAACAAAATAAAGACATTCTGTCTATTTACAACAAATTTGTGTGTGTGTGTATGTGTGTGTGTGTGTGTGTGTGTGTGTGTGTGTGTGGTGCTGGGGATTGAACCAAGCACCTTGTGCATGTGAGGCAAGCACTCTACCAACTGAGCTATATCCCAACCCCCAATTTAAAAATAAATAAATAGGCTGCGGTTGTGGCTCAGCGGTAGAGCACTCACCTAGCACATGCGAGGCACTGGGTTTGATCCTCAGCACCACATATAAGTAAATAAATAAASATCAATCAACAACTAAAAAAATAAAATAAATAAAATAAAATTCATATTGAAATTGCAAAGGAACTAAAATAGCCAAAATAAATTTGTTTTCATACTKGGGATTAAACACAGGAGTGCTTGACCGCTGAACTACATCCTTAGTCCTTTTAATTTATTTTTTTGAGACAGGGTCTTGCTGAGTTGTGATCCTCCTGCCTCAGCGTTCCAAGTTGGTGATTACAGGTGTACACCACCATGGCTGGTCCCAAAACAACTTTGAAAAAGCAAAAATAAACAAATCAAAGTTCTAAAATTTCAAGACTTAACTGTAGGTTGAGCATGATTTTGTGAAAATCTGAAATCCATTAACTTGTTTTCTTGTACCTGGGAACACGGGGGTGCCTAACCACTGAGCCACATCCCCAGCTCTTTTTTTATTTTCAGATAGGGTCTCACTAGGTAACTTAGGGCCTTGCTAAATTGCTAATACTGGCTTTGAACTTGTAATCCTCTTGTCTCAGCCTCCCAAACTGCAGAGATTACAGGCATGTGGCACTGAACCCACTCTAGGAGGTTCTAAAGTTAATCGTGTTTATCACACAACCCAGAAATCTCACTCCCAGGTTTTTATACAAAAGGAGACCTATGCCCACATAAAAACCTATAAAGTTTGGAGCAGCTTTACCAATAAAAGCAAAAAACTGGGAAATCTCCCCAGTGGGTAAGAGGGTGAACTGCTGTACGTCGGACAATGGAAACCCACTTGAGAATAAGGGGAATGAACGGGGGCTGGGCAGTGTTAGGGGGCTTGCTTGCCTAGCATGGCTGGAGGCACTRGGTTCCATCCCAGCACCAGCCCCTCCCCCAAAGAGAACCAAGTGTATGGAAGAGCCTCAGAATCATGCTCCTCAGTGCAGAGAACCAGCCTCGGAAGGCTGCATCCGTTACACTGAAGGGTGGAGCACAACTGGTTGACCCATCCACCCCGTTGGGACACTGGTTGTTTCCCACCTCTTGGTAAAGACCTGCGATGCCACCTGCGGGAGAGGACATGTGTTTTTAAAGATGGGAGTCCCTGAACTCATCTATGTGCCAAGAGWGGAGAGAAGGAGCAAGAACCACCCTTCAAGGGCTCCGACAACCAGGGTGGGAGGAGGCGCAGGGGAATGGAGGTTGGGGCCAAAGGTTCGCTGGGTACATGGACAGGCCACATACAGAAGCTCACTGAAGGCTGAACCTTAATGTCTGCGCTCCTTATCTGAGACCTGGAGGAGCCACAGCGCTGACCTCATGGGGCCTTGAGCACAGGAGGAGATGGTGCAGCTGCTCTTGCGGAACTGCAAAAGCCTCAAGGAACAGCTGCTCCAAGGACAGCTGCCACTGCCACCACCTCGGGCTGCGCGAGCTGCAGGGCAGTCCTCCCCTGCCAGCCCCGGYCCAGCAGGGTGACACCACCACATGCTCCCCACTTACCTGCTTGGAGTAGATCCTGAGCAGCTTGTTGACAGGCACACCCTCACTGTCCCCATCGAACTCCAGCCACAACACAGGCTCCTCCTCCTCCGGGGAGGTGTGGTCCCAGGACAGCTCCTGGAAGCTGAGGCCCAGCAGGACGTGCTGGGGGGGGGGGGGGCGAGGCTTGCTTACCTGGCAGTGGCCACCCCACCCTGTCCCACTCAGCCTCAGCCAGGAGGGGACTCCTGCTGGGGTGTTTGTCTCTCTGGGTTGTCTAAATTCCTCCATGTGTTTCTCTAAGGAGAGGAGCCGGCTTCCATCATGCTCCTCCTGGGGAGGGTACTTGTGCCCAAGTGCAGGGAAGCCGTCACTGCACAGGGAGAGCTGCTGGCACAGACGCCTACACTGGCAGACAAAGGCAAGCCCTCCACGACCAGGGAACAGYGGGCCTTGGGCCCCCCCTGGGCTCCCAGCCGTAGGGTCTTTTAGGGTCTTTCTGGAACACCAGCAGCTGGACTCCACCACTGGCCAAGCAGAGCAGCCAGGCACCCTGACTTCCTAAGCTCAAAGGGAAGATCCCCGCTGCAGCTCCTCCCCGCTCTGGCCAGCTCTGGCCACGTGCAGTGCAGCCCAGTACCTGAGGCAGAAAAGCTGACCCAGAGCAGACCTGAGGAAGCAGGGACACAGCGGGAGGCACAGTCCACTGTCATAGGCCCAGGGGAACTAGGAATGCCTGGTCAAGACCCTCACTCCCTTCTGACCCACAGAGGTGGCCTAAGGTCCCACCCCAGGGGACTGGAGGCTGTACCTTCTCCCTGCTGTCGATGACATGCACGCCTTCCAGACTGATGGCCACAGTTACGGACTTGCGTCCGCCCCGGTGTAAGAAGCCCTGGGCTGGCTTGTCAATCTCGCCATGGAAGAAGGCACAGCTGGGGAGGAGACGGGGGTCAGCCGCTCCTTCCAGCACTTGGCACACTGGGGAGGACMGCTCTATGCTCTAAGATGGCTTAATCTGTTTGGGTTAAACAGAGGCCTGCCCTGGAGGAGGAAGAACTGAGCAGGGTGAGGGGAGGTTTCATGGGGGTGGTGGCATATAAGCCAGCAGTGCAGGACATAAGGGACTGGGTGGCACAGGGCAGAAGAGACAGGAGAGAGCACGAACCCAGGAAGGGGGACAAAGCAAGCTGCGCCCAGGAATGGCTGGAGCCTGGGACTTGGCCTGGGGGTAAAGGCTAAGGTCACTAGAAGTAGCCACAGAGCCCTGCTGCCCACTGTCCAGGACAAAGATGCTTGAGCAGCAAGGACCTGCTGGGACAAAAGAGAAGGTGAAGGCTGCCCCGGGAACAACTTTCTAGGCTTAAGACTGAGAAGYRGGTGGGGGTTGTGGCTCAGCCGCASAGCGCTAGCCTAGCATGTGGGAGGCCATGGGTTCGATGCTCAGCACCACATATAAATAATAATAAAAAAAGGATACTGTATCCAACTAAAAAATAAATATTAAAAAAAAAGACTTGAGAAGGGGTGTTAGAAAAATAGCCTAACATTTGTGAGGCCCTGGGTTCGATCCCAAGCACCACCCAAAACAAAACAAAAAACCAGACAAAGAAAGAAACAAAAAGGCTGAGAAGGGAGCTGGGCATAGTGGTACACGTCTGTAGTCCCAGCAACTCAGGAGGCTGAGGCAGGAGGACAGGTTTGAGGCCAGCCTCAGTAACTTAGCAAAACCCTAAGCAACTTAGTGAGACCCTGTCTCAAAATACAAAATAAAAAGTGCTAGGGATGTGATTCAGTCATAAAGAGCCTCAGGGTTCAATCCCCAGTACCTAAAAAGTAAAGTGTAGCTCAGTAGTAGAGCTAGTAGAGTGCTTGCCTAGCTAGCATGCACAAGGCCCTGGGTTCCATCCCCAACACACAGTAAGAGGGGGAAAAAAAAAAAAAAAAAAAAACTGTGGAAGCCAGTGGCACTGGTTGCCAAGCCCTCCTCCTTCTCCCACCTGTCCCACCTGAGCTAGGCTGATGTCCATCACCAGCCTCAACAACGAGAGCGAGCCCAACAGTGCACGCGCACAGGACCCGAAGCTGCAGCCCTGCAGCATGCGGCGCTTGGTCTCTAGGGACCCTCCCAACCTGACTATATCTGTCTCAGGTCTCTGTCATTACCACTGGGCCTGTGCCAAGCCTGTGGGACACTGCCACACCCTCCCCTACTCGCCTGGCTGCCATGCCTGCCTACAGGTGACCCCCTCTCCCCACCACCGCCTCGCACATGAGCTTCACTAGGCAGGGATCACAGGGCCTCTGGCTCATGAGGTCCCTTCAGTGCAGAGTGCCCAGCGTGCAGTAGGTGCGCGGCAGCTATTTGTGATACGTTGACCGGGTGAGCCAGAGAGCTGAGTGCGGGTGCTCGGCCAGGCCAGTGACTAAGTGACCATGGCAGGTGGGAGGAGAGCCATCCAGGTGTCCTGGCCTGGGACAGGAGCGGGGAGCACAGGTACCCGGCTTAGGCCCAGCGCTCATGCCAAGACCGCGCTTCACAGGAAGGACAGAGCAGCTGGAGCTCTGGGGGCTCACGGGCAGCTGCCTGGACAAGCCTGCCGGGCTGTGAGCAGGGGTGCCAGGGCCGAGGCTGCTCACCCGTAGAAGGGCAGCTCGTGGCACTTGAGGAGGTAGGCACGGTAGTGGGAGCCCAGGGCGGCTTCCTGCCCGCTGTTGCTGCTGCCGACTGCTTCCTTCACCTGGCGGTAGGCGTTCAGCAAGCCCTGCTCACCCGTCCCAGACTTGGCGCTGCGGCCCCGGAAGGCAGCAAAGAAGCCGTGGCCCCGTTTGCAGAGATGGGCAGGGAGGAAGGAGTCCAGCTTCTCTCTGTGGAGGAAGGAAGTGGGTGCTGGTGGCCCTACCAGAGGTGCCAAGGACTTCAGGGTGTGGGTGCCACACCCAGGGGAAAGGAAGGGCTTGGTTGGTGCCTGGCTGGGGACCCACAGGGCATATGTGCTCACCAGGGCTCTCCCCTGCCCTAGACATGGACCGCTAGAGGGAACCCCGCTGTTCCATTTCAGCCAGGGCCTGCTGAGCCTGGCTCAATGGCCAACCCATCCTGGCCAGGAGGGACCCCTGTCAAGTGCAGGTGGGGTGCTCTCCCTTGTAAGAAAAACAGGGTGACCAGAGGAAGTGACCTCCAAGCCAGGCACTGGGTAAGAGGCCCAGGTAGGCACAGCCATGGCGGGGGGCAGATCTGCCCCTCCACAGGGCAGGTTCTGGAGTTGGACCTGCCTCTGCCATGACCAGCTGCACAACTGGCAAGAGGTATCTTCCCTGCTTTGTGCTGCTTCATCTGCAGAATGAGGACGGTACTGCCACCAAGGGCACCAGTGATAGTTACCGCCACCCTAAACACGTAAGACTCCAGGCCCAGGCCCAGGATTGGAGTGGGAGTCCCCCGAGGACAGCCCAGGTCTCATCCACTCTGATCCTGCTCTTTCCTACTGCTCTAGGAGCCAGCCCACATAGCCACGAGCAGAAGCCCTGGACACATGCCTGTCCCTTGAGTCCTGTCCCAGTCTGTGGCATCATCCACGCTGCGAAGAGCCTCCACACGGCAGGCCCTGCCTGCCTCCCCCTCAGTACCAGCTCCCCACCCAGGAGACCCAAGGAAACACCACCAAGCTGGCAGAGGGGACAGATTCAGGGTCCACCAGGCCCATTCTCACCCCAGGAGAGGAGATACACTAGTGAGAGCACCGTGGTGTGCTAGGCTCTGTGGAGGGTGTCCCAGTGGGTCCTGCGAGGGGCTCGCTGACACGCAGGGTCAGGTGAGTACAGGAAATTGGGAGGCACCGAGGTGTGCAGGAAGGGACAAAGGAAGGCTGGGACCCAAGAAGAGAGGCAGAGCAGGCCCTAGGGTTTCAGAGCAATGTCTGTGTCACAAGGAAGGACGACTGGCATTTCTGAACTGGGAGCTTTTCTAACCAAAAACTTGTGCAAGAGGCCTGATGCTTTCTTCTGCCAGATAAAGATGCCAAAACACCAGCCTAGAATCAGGTTCATGAACAATAGGGCGCCCCATCACACACGCACACAAAGCAGGAAAGGATCTCGACATAAATGCAGTTACTTCCGCATCTTAGGCCACCCAAGGATTCTGGGGGCCATGGATTGGCTGTTCCAATAAACTAAGGTCAGGGGCTGGGGATGTGGCTCAAGTGGTAGCGCGCTCGCCTGTCATGCATGTGGCCCGGGTTCAATCCTCAGCACCACATACAAAGATGTTGTGTCCGCCGAAAACTAAAAAATAAATATTAAAAAAAATTCTCTCTCTTTCAAATAAAATAAAATAAGGTCAGAACTCTTGGTCTACGAGGCTCCAGGGCTCCATCTTCCCTATATACAAAAACGGACACAAATCCCAACGAACACAGAAGGCTGGGGCGCTGGCATGGGCCCAGGCTGAGGTCAGTGCTAAAAGATCTCACTGTGCTGCCATCTTCACCAGAGCAGAGGGGTCTTGTTGAGGATTCTGGAGCCCCAAATACCCCAGGCCATGAGGGCAGGGGCAGATGCTCCAGCAGAAGGGCAGAGGGAAGGAACCTATGTTGGCTCAGGAGGCCCAGGCCCAGCAGGCATGAGGAGGGGACCCCAGAGGGCTGCTATGGACATTTTGTCACCTGTCCCCTTACACCCTTCATTCAGGAAGGGCTCCCACTTGCCATGAGAAAGCCTTTCTTGCTCTCAGCTCACGTGGTTTGTTGGGTTTGTGGTGGGACCCACGGAAGGACCTGGGCTGCTCACGTCACGATGCTTCCTTTGGGTGGACCTGGGACCAATTCACTAGTCACCAGAATGAGTCCAAGGGCTCTGGTCACACAAGGGAAGAGCAAGTTACCACTGGGCCCACGGCATGAGTGTGCCTGAGCTGGCAGGGGCAGGAGGACGAAGGCTAGGCAAGGAGAGTGAGAACGGGGCCGAGGCTCCTTGACCATACTTGAATGGGACCTGAGCAAGGGCTCAGGTGTGCCAACAGTTTGAGCTGGGTTTGTTGTCACAAGAGGAACAGATGTGCCTACTGCAAGGGCCTGGGCCCCACAGCCACCAGCCTTGGACCAGCTCAGCTGACAGCCCTCCAGTTCAACTCAGACTGGGGTGGTCCTTGCTGGGCCCCAGTCATCAGCCCAGCACAGGGTCCCTGTCCTGCACACCTCTCCTGCCTCATCCMCTGTAACAGGGTAGTATCTCTAAACCTCAGCGGCACCCTCCGTGGAGGGGAGAGCGTGGCCTGGTGTGCTGCCAGGGCAGACTCAGTCCTTGCCCCCGCCCCCACCCCAAGGCCTGCATATCACATGGCAGAGGCAGCCCCGAGAAGGTTGGGAAGCACACAGCTGGCTGGATGAGTGTCAGGGGAAGGGGGTTCCATTCCCTGGGTTTGGAATTAAGCTGGACTGTTACTGGCCACTGAAGAATCAGTATTGGTTAGTTCCTGGCTGTGACTTCAATGAACAAGGCCAGTTCCCTCCTGACTTCAGCCAGAGGCCAGCCTCCGCCCTCACACTTTCCTAGGGCCTCTTGGGCTATGGAGTCTTCTTAGATAGCACTTCACCCTGGTTTCCTCTGCCCAGATGAGGGAAAGGGGGTTCAGAGAGGTGGAGCGACTCACCCAAGGCCACACAGTGAGCATGTGTGATAGGACTGAGGCCTCCAAACTCCAGGACTGTGCCCCACCTTGCAGGACCGATGACCACTCATAAGTGGGGGCAAATTCCCCTACCAGGTGCCCCTGCCTTGGGTCACCTGCCCTCACCTCAGGGTGCAGGCAGCAGGCTGGCCAGGCTGGTAGGGCCCAAGCTGCACACGGCACACCAGGGCGCCAAGCACCTCGCAGTCCTCCACATCACACGGATATCGAGCGGTTAGCACGTTGCCCTTGGCCTCCTCATACAGCAGCCGCAGGACCTCCGCATCGTGGATCTGTGGGCCAGTGTGGCAGAGGACTGCTCAGCCAGCTGGGGCAAGGCATGAAGGGAGAAGGGGAGCTGGCACGGCCTGGTCTGGGTACTCTGCCAGGGCTCACGCCTCACCTGGAGCTCCCGCCGCTTTGGGAAGAACACGTTCCTTCGGAATTGCAGGGAAGGCTCATCTGGGGAGGGAAGCAGTGTCACTGGCCAGCCACCCTGCTCCGCCCAGCACTGCCCTTCCCTGTGGCTGGCTCAGGCCCAGCTCCCAAACTCACCCACCTTGACTACGAAACCCTCATGCCAAGGGCCCTGAGAGAGCTACACAGTTCACCGCCTCGCCCGATAAGCGTCCCAGCTGCCCTTATTCAGCCTCCCCTAGGCACCTGATCTCCCATCAGGAGTGGCTGCCCAAACCTGGGGGAGATGCAGGGCCTGCCCTCAGCTAGGGCAACTCCACCTGCCCAAAGCAGCACTGACCCATGGCCACATCGTCGTCTGGGGCGTCAGTGAAGCGCAGTAGCAGCTCGGGCCACTGGCGGCCCACCTTGTAGGGCTGGTGCTTGGGCTTCAGCTGCACCTCTGCAAGATGAGAGGAGAGGCATCCATGCAGTCTCAGGAGCAGGCTGATGGTGCCCACCCACCCCGTCATAACTGCCCACTCACGGCAACAACAAGAACAGTCACATCTATCAGTAATTGAGTAGGTACAGAGTGTCCAGAACCAATTCAAGTGGTTCTTATGCATTTACCCTAATAACTCTATTGTCCATTTCATCCTCAGAGAAAACAGGGCTCAGAGAGGTTAAGCAACTTGTCCAGAGTCACAAAGAGTACTGGGCTTCAGAGACAGCCGACCCCTGCTCACTCCAGCCCCAGGCAGGCTGAGGTGGATGGAAGGGGCTGCAGAGAGACCCAGAACTACCAGGAAGCAGACTCTGAGGCTGGAGATGAGGGCCCAAAGTTCGGAGAAGCTGCCTTCCCCTGCCCTTGGCAGGGCCTGGGCCTCCCCACTGCCAGGCTCCACCTTTGCCTCCATGGCACACAAGGCGATGCCGCCCAGCTCCCGCCTGGCTCTCACCTCGCTACTTCCCTCGCCCCCTCCACTCTGCTCCTGCTACACAGGCCTTAAATCACTTGAACACTCCTAGCCTGATTGTCTTGGGGACAATCTGTACTTGCTGCTCTTCTTGCCTTGGATTCCTGTCTCCCAGATCTGTACATGACTGGACAACTCAGATCTTAGTTCAAGGTCATCTGCCCTGGACTCCTAACTCAGACAGCATCTCCTCAAAACCTTCTATCTGTGCCCTCATCTGCCTGCCTTTCCAGCACTTTCCACCACCTGACAAGCTCTCACTGCCTCAGCCTGCTTTAGACTGAGTGACACGTGGATAGGAGTAGATCCTGTGCACACAGGGCCCAACATGGACTGGCACAATGACTGAACACTCACTCACAGCGCCTCAACCTCTGTGCTATCAGCCCAAGATTCAGCCCCTCTGACCAGGGAACAAGCATCTTCAGCTCACAGACCAGAGTGCCACCTGGGGTGCTGCCCTTTGAGAGGTGTGAGGGGTTCCAAGTGCACTCAGAGGTGAACTGAAGTGTCTGCTGAGGATGCAGGAGGGGGAGTAGCAAAACACCTGTCACTCACCTGCCCTCTATCATCTGCCCCACATGGCCTTCTTCTCCCCCTCCCCCTCCCCGCAGCCTAGTGCCAAGAGTCCTCATTTCCATTCTTTGGACCTTTTGAAACTTCCACCTGGACCCAGATCCCTCCTTTTTTCTTTTTTTCAGGTACTAGGGATTAAACCCAAGGGTACTCTACCACTGAGCTACATCCCCAGGTTTTTGCTTTCTTAAAATTTTTAAAAAATATTTCTTAGTTGTAGATGGACACAATTTATTTGTCTTTATGCAGTGCTGAGGATMGAACCCAGTGGCTCACACATGCCTCACACATTGCCTAGCGCATGCTAGGCAAGCGCTCTACCACTGACCCACAACCCTAGCCCAACTTTCCTAAAATTTTGAGTCTTGCTAAGTTGCCCAGGCTGGCCTCAAACTGGCAATCCTCTTGCCTTAGACTCCCCAGTAGCTGGGATTACAGGTCATGCCACCACACCCAGCTCCAACCCTGATCCTGATCTCAAACAGGTGCCACAGCCTCTAAATTGGCCTCCGTCTCCAGGTTCTTCCATCTAACCCTCCATCCAGCTTCTCTAGTCCTTTCTTACCCCATCATTTCGGATCCAGATTCCCAGAGGCTCCACAGTCCTCATTTCCTGCTTAGATCCTTAGTTCCCATATGTCACCCCCCACACACACTCCAAGCAAGAGAATGCGCCATTTGCCTCAACAGCTGCGTTTTTCTCCCCTCCTGGAAGTGCTCCCTTGTCACCTTCCTGCCTGATCAGTCCCTCCTCCTGCTCTATCTGGAGACTCACAGGATGTCAGGGCTACGAGGGCATCAAGATCATTTTCAGAGGGATGGGGACTGCCAAAGCCAAAAGGAGTTAGTCAGGAGTAGAGTTCTGTTCTTCAAACTTCTCTTCTCTACACTTTCAACTTGAAAGTGCCAACTTCGAGTTCACTGCGGGTAGGGACTCCATCAGTCTGGTTCCCTGCTGTACCCCCAGCATGCAGAACACTCCCCAGGCCAGAGTGCTTTGTGCCCTCTTATGGAATAAACAAAGTAACCCACTAGCTGGGGTCCACTGGTCACACTGCGGGGAAGGGGAGACCTGGGGACAGGGACATCCTCCTGTCTTCACTACAGGTCCTGGAAGCTCAAAGGATCCCATTATCAGAAAAGGACTATGCTAACCCCATGGTTTCAGACTTCCAGATGGGCTTCTTGCCTGGAGGCTGTCACCTAAATAAGACTGACAGTCCCTGGAGCCCTGCCCTCATGCAACAACAGTGGCATCTAGGAGGCCAAATTCTACCAAAATGAGCAAGGGGGCTCCTGCAGACGGTACCCCATCCCTGCCTTGCAGGAACTCTAGCCCTGGGGTCTCTGCTACTGTTTCACCAGTGTGCTGTGGGGGAGCTCAGAGGTTCTGGGGCCTGAGGCAAAGCTGAAGTGTTGCATTCACCCTCCAAAACCAGCCTGGGAACAAGGTGGGTGTTGACTCCGCAGTGGCCTCAGCCATCCTCCCCCTGGATGGGCCAGGCCACACAGGCAGCCCATTCAGTTCTTGCCACTGGGGAAAGGAATGTGATGAGGGAGGGGTGAAGGAAGTGGAGAGGGGAGCAATCTGCCTGGCAGCAGCACTGGGAGCCCCCCAAGGCAGGCCCGGGATACCCACTCAGGCTCACCACCCCCAGCTTTCCAAAGATACAGCCAAGGGGCCCCGGTCCTGACCAGAAGCTCTGAGGGTGAAGGGGGGTAGCTGGGCTGGGTGTGGAATGGCCAGACGCGGGTCAGCAGGAAGAGGGTAGGCGGCAGCCCTAGAGCAGCAGCTGCGCAGGAAGCTGGGGGGGGCTGGGGGTGGGGGTGGGAGTGCTGGGAGCTCCCTTTCTTCTACTTAACTCACTGGGATGCTCCCTCTGGGGGACAGGCACAAACCCCAGTGGCCTCAGGAGAGGCGGTAGCCTGGGGCTGGACTCAGGCTATCCTGCTCACCCTCTCAGTGGGACTAGTCACCTCCCTACCCTGTTCCTCTACAACAAAGGGAATGTTCAAGCTCAGGAAACATGCCTGGTCCTGGCACCAATTTACTTTCCCAGATGATGACATGGGGCATTCTGTCCTGTGGCCTTCTTCCTGTCCAAGGTAGCAGGTCCAGGGACCCTATTCACCCAGGGACTCCTGGGTAAGGGTCTGGAGGGCCAATGCCCCCACTTCCACCCCACCCTGGGGTCCGAATATGAAAGGGCAGGATGTGCATAGCCATTGGGTCAGAAACCAGGCAGGGCTGAGACCCCTGTCCAGAGAAATCATGTACTTCCTCTTCCTGTCCTTTCCACCCTCGACAAAGGCCACACCATCACTGCAGCTGCTTCCTGGGTTACACCTCACTTTCCTCCCTAACCCCAAGGAACAGTCCAGGGACCAGCACCTCCCTTCTGTTTTGGGAGACCTCAAATTCCTCACTGCAGAACAGGTCTAGGCCACAGGATGTGAAACTGTGCTCTCAGAGTGAGGCCTAGCTGTGGCACAAAAGGTGTGCTCAGTGAACAGGAAGCCCTTCCCTCCCTCCCCCAGAGTCCTGGTTCAGGCCTTTCCTCTGCCACCAGCCAAATAAAAGTGGGGATAAAGGAGTCAGGAGTCTCCCGAGGGCTCTGGATCCTCAAAGGAGTAGCTAGCTCCAGGACACACTCCTGATGTGTAGTAAGTAGCCASAGGTTCCCAAAGCAGCACTAGTCAGTGCCCTTCCAACCCTCCTGCCCAGGGCTGCTCACCATCAAGCCTTACCCAGCAGCGGGGAGACAAGCCAGAGTGCAAAGGCATCTAGGGCAATGTCTGGGAGCTGCAGGACTTCGCGGACTGCCCGGTGCAGCTCGTGGGCACTGAGTGAGGGCAGGTTCTCCACAGCCAGGGGCACCACTGTGTCATCGGCCAGGTACACCAGTACATCAGCAGCTGTGATAGAAGCCAGGCAGGATCAGCTAAGGCCCACAGCCTGGCTGACCAGGCACCCTTCACAATCCTACACCCCTTGGGGGTGACCCCGGCTACACTCCTGAAACAGAGCCTCAACAATCTTTCCAAAAGACCCTGTTAGGAGTGCTGCCTATCAGGACTTCCATGAGACCCTCAAACCACCCAGAAACCCAGCACTGAGGCCTTGATACCAGCCTTACCTCACCTTAACTTAGAGCTGGCCATGATAAACCCCTGCCTCCAGCTCTCTGGCAACCCCAAGCACTGCTGCATTTCTGCCCTGAAGAACATTCCACAGGTGAGGAACTATGCACATAAGCTGAACCCATCCTGAGGTCACAGCAGTTAGCCTATGAGGCTGGGAATGAGGAGGGATGGTGACCCACAGTTTCCCTTAGCCTGGACTAAAGAGAGAATGAGTCTTGCCTAGGAAGGGAATGAGGATTCCTAAGGCCACCCCAAGACAAAGAAAGTTCTATGTCTCTGCTTCCTCAGGACTCTTCAAGCCTCAGGGCCTTTCAAGAAAGCCTTAAGCAGGCTAGGGAGCCAGGTGCGGTGGTGGTGCACACCTGTAATCCCAGGGACTCAGGAGATTAAGGCAAGAGGATCTCAAGTCTAAAGCTAGCCTTACCCAYTTAGTGAGACCCTGTCTCAAAAACTAAAAAGGGCTGAGGATGTGGCTCAGTGGTAGAGTGCCTCTGGGTTCAGCCTTCAGTGCTGCAAAAGGGGAGGAAAAAAAAAAAAAAAAGCAGTCTAGGAAAGGACAACCCAAAGAGCTGAGCATTCCCTTGTTACAAGCTATGGAATTTCCATCGGGAGCATAAAGCCAAAGAGAGACCCTTGGCAGGGTAGCAAGATTCAAATTCCCATCCCTAGAACCACAGGCAGCAAAGAACACTGAGCTTGGAGGCCCACACCCCAGGGTTCCAGTGCTTGTCAGCTCTCTAGGGCTAACTGGCTGACTTTGGCTAGTCAGTTTGAGTGTTGGCTGACCTATCTGCAAAAGCAGAGATAATATCCCTCCCTCAAAGACTAGCTGTGAACCAAATGAAGAAAGCCAGTGAAAGGGAAGGGCATACTTCAGAGTCAACTGTGAAGGTACTTTTTGGATCCCCAGTCTCTTCTGTCTCTACAGCTACTTTGAGAGATCAAAAAAATCATCTCCTGGCACCTCCAACTTACAGGGAGGGAAAAAATTCAGCTCCAACTCACAGGGAAGGAAAACAGAGGCAATGAAGAGAAGCTCAAGATCATGATCACCTGGAGGTTTCCAAAAGCCTGTGCTTTAACCTCTCTAGGGCCTAATTTTCTCCCTATAAAAGGAAGATAATGACCCCTGCCTTTGGAAGGCTGTTTGTGAGAAAGAAAAGGAACAAAGAAAGTGAAGGTGTCACTTTTCATTCATGTGTTCCCACTCGAATTTCACCACCAGGTAAGACTTGCCTGTTCTATAAATGAGGAGAGCAGGAATTCAAGGACAGTACCAACTGGATCACTAAGCTAGTCACAAAGCCCAGGTGCTCTGCCTCTGGCTTGTTTAAGTTTGCCACATCTCATAAACACCTGATATCTTAAAACATAAGATTAGTAAAAAGACAAGGCAGAGCCACGTCTCCTGGAGGGTGCAGAGAGAGGAGCAGAGCAAGGACCCACCTCGGGCTCCCACTGAAGACAGGCTGCTCCGGTGGGACCTCTCAGCTGGGCCAGGCTGACCAGCATTGCCTTCTGGCCCGTCCATCTGCAAAGGGAAAGAGAAGCAGCAGTTACTGGGGGGCCAGAGGTGGGGAATGAGGGTCTCCTTTAGCTCTTCACGAGTAAGAGAAGGGGTCTTAGCCTGGGTCTACAAGGCTGAACAACCTGCCTGGCAGAGACCAACTGTGCAGGCTGGAGGTGGACCGTGCCCTTCGGCTGACTGGAGATCGGGACTAGTGAAAGGGGTCAAGGCAGTGACAGGGGCGGAGGGTCGAAATTCGCTAGCCAGAATGTCCAGGCAGAGCACCGCGAGCCCCAAGCCGGGGCGGGGGCCCAGCCAGGGAGTGGCTGCGCTCTCACCTCGCAGGGTCGCAGAGCCCGCAGCCTCAGGCCAGGATTCAGCACTGACTCTGGCTCCCAGCTCCGGCTCCAGGGCCCCCTAAGCCTACCACCGTTCGGTATCCGGGCTGCTGCAGGCGTTCCCGCCCTTGGGGCTGCGACTCGGAAGCGGCGGTAGGAGGAAGCGCCGCAGTCAGACTCCGCCTCCCCGGCCGCGGGAGCCAATCGAAGCCTGAGGCCGCYGCGCACGCTCTCTGCCGGCGCCAGAGGGACCACGCCCCACGGGCCGCGCATGCCCAGATTCCCCAGGGGTCCCGCCACGCCCCTGGGTGGGTCACGCCCCTGGCCTGGCCGCGACTTGAACCGGCAGGGTCACCAACCCGAGTGACACAGGTCCAGTTTCTCTACCGGCAGTCTCAGACCATTGATCTGCTGTAAGGTGTGGTAAAGATTCAAGAAAGGGAGGGGGCGCGAGTGTAGGCATTCACTCCATTCGCCTGTGACTTTGGGGTCGCATTCCCTCCTCAGAGATGAAGATGTTGGGTGGACTGGTCAGCCAGCTGAGCGCTGGGCAGAGGTGTCGCAGGCAGCGGCCTATACCGCAGAGCCCTCTGGCCGTAAAGGGTGGTGGTCATGAGACAGTCAAGTCCCTTCCCTTCTGGGCCTCTGTTTGCTCATCTGTAAAATGACTTCGGACTCCATTCTCATTCTCAATTTATTTGTGTATGTCAAAAACTGAGGTCAGGCACAGTTTTTCCAGAGCACAGTCACATGAGCCTTGGCTATCTGAGACACACAGCCTCTGAGACCTTTAGATATTCCCAGACACTGGAGCTCTGAAGAGGCAGGTGTGAAACCACCTATCTGCCAACTCACATCACCAACATTTCCTGGCAACATGGGTATGTGTGTATGAGATGCAGAACACAGGGAGAAAAACAAGTCCATGGGCATTTGCCCAAGTCAGAGGAACTTGTTCTGAGACAACAATGGGCTTGGGGATCAGCCAAAAGGGACTGTGGGTGTTCTGAGTGAGCTACGTCAATACATAGACCAAACACATTTATGTCTTTCCATTATGTCAAAATTTATTAAATAGTAATACATTCACAAGCTACACCACTTTCATTGGTTACAATTCACAGAGTATTTGCAGTCACCTGATAGTCATAATCTGGGCAATCACCAGTTCTTTTATTCCTATCTTAATAACTAGTATTATACTAGTAATATAAAGAATAATTATAGTCAGGTATAGTGACACATGCCTGTAATCCCAGCTACTTGGAAGTCTGAGGCAGGAGGATCACAAGATCAAGGACAGGCTGGGCAACTTAGCGAGGCTGTCAGCAATTTAGCAAGACCCTGTCTCAAAATAAAAGTAAAAAGGGCTAGGAATGTGGCTCAGTGGTAGAGCACCCCTGAGTTCAATCATCAATGCTGGAAAAAAATTGAAAAATAAATAAAACTATAGATGATGACAGTGTTGCCATAAGAGCTACAAAATACCATAAGTAGGAAGAGGAAGGTCTTCAGTTCCTGCTCAAATACTGTGTGCTGCACACTGTATTTCTTCATGTCCTCATGGATCCTAGGAGTGGAAATATGAGCATTAGCAGCTACTATTTATGTGCCACTTTTCTAAGTGTTTAAAACCTTGTCACGGGGCTGGGGATGTGGCTCAAGCGGTAGCGTGCTTGCCTGGCATGCATGGGTGCTGGGTTAGATCCTCAGCACCACATAAAAAATAAAATAAAGATGTTGTGTCCACTGAAAACTAAAAAATAAATATTAAAAAAATTCTCTTTAAAAAAAAAAACCTTGTCGCATACTGAGAGGTGAGTATTATATCTCCATTTTATGAATGAGGAAACAGGACTGAAAAGATTAAACAAGGAGACTGACTTCTGGCAGTGCGTGTGGTGGCAGCAGTGGGGAGATTGGAACCTGGCTATAACCAAGCAGGGCCGCTGAAGAATCCAGAGGCTGAGTGATAGGCTGGCTGACAGGGTGAGGAAGGCAAGCAGCTACGTGAGACCATTAGGTTATAGGAAAGCCCTGGGTACGTCAGATAGTGGTGGTTCTTRAACCCCAGGGGGAGGGGCATGGCCAGTGAGGAAGGTGTGAGGCATCAAGGATATTGTGGAGGTTGTAAGTTAGAAAGTGACAAGATGAGAGTCCTGCTCTGCTGTGAGGAGGATGAACCTGGTGGAATTTGCAGAAGACTGAGAAAGCAACAGCCAGGGTGGATTTCCCTCTGTGAGGCTCCCAGAAATGGAGAGAAGAAATGGCTCTCATGAATTGGGGTGGGATGGTGGAAATGAAAGAATGGGCCCATTCTGAAGACGGGGAAAGAGTCCGTGGCCCTTGAGGGCTCAGAGGCTTGGACATAGCAATCAGCTGGGCTGATGCCCTACTCTGGCAAGTGTTAAAGGACCCCAAAGCCCACAGAATGGGTGCCGAGGTCACTTGGGAGAACAGGTGGCAGAAGAAGGGCAGCCCCACCCACCCATCCTGAGAGGCCAGTCCTGGAGCCCAGACCGCTCCAGGAGAGGAAGTTGGAGATGAGGCCCCGCCTCCTGGGACTTGCCCACCCTCAGAGAAAGGAGAGAGAAAGGCCGGTTGGAGGGTCCTTGGGCATCCAGTAGGAAACCAAGGGGACCTGGAGTGGAGATTGGAGTATTTTGGGGGTCCTTTGGCAGTGGGAGAGAGATCTGGAGCCCCAGGTCTGGTCACTGATGCTTTTTCCGGACTTTTTCATTGGTTCATTCATTTACTGAGCTAGGATTTATTGAGTTCCTACTCTGTGCCAGGCGCTGTTCTAAGCCTTTGAGATATAATAGACAAAACAGCCGGAGAGCTAGTCTGCCCAGACATTCCAAGTCGGTGACAGGCGCAATTCGAGAAAGAAGAGGAAGAGTGGGAGGGCCGGGCACTAGCCCCTGGGTGGGCGGGCAGATCCACGTTACTGGAGATGATTCGGGGAGGCCTCCTTTGGGAGCCCCAGCCTGAAGGAAGTCAGGGAGAGGGTGTCCAGGAAGAGGGAACGGCCCGTGCAAAGACCTGGAGGCGGGGGCTTGTTTGAAAAAAGAGTAGGGAGGCCAGGGTGGCCAGGTGAGGTCAGAGGAGAATGGGTGGGCCCTGAGGGCTCAGAGAACCCAGAAAGGATTCGATCTCGATCTCTCTCTCTCTCTCTCTCTCTCTCAACTTATAAAGAAATTTATTTCTCCCAGTTTGGAGACTGGCAAGTCCCATATCTAGGCTTGGGCATCTGGCTACGACCTTCATGTTCCATCTTCTTGTGGAGGAGGCAAGAGGGTGAGGGAGGGCGAGAGACACAGCAAGGTTCTAGTTTTGACCCAGAGCAGCACGGTACCATTGCACAGACACACAGACCTTTACCTAGTCAGAACCGTCAGCTTTCCCTGAGGCACAGGAGGCTGAGGGAGGCCACATCCCTGACTGAGAGTAGACAGGCTTAAGGGCCTGGTGAGCCTCTTCTAGGGGCTGGTTCTTCTCTTTTCCTGGGTTCTTCCCAGCATGTCGGGTTTGGGTGGCTGCTGCAGGCCACTGTGAGCTGGGCCTGCCACCTAGTGGCTATACTCTGCCTCCACCAGGCCTCGCTGCCGGTCTGGGGTGGGCAAGGCCTGTGCTTCGGTGGGCATGAGTAGGAGTTTGGCATGGACAGGCGGGACGGGCCTTGTCTCTTGCTAACTGAGGCAGCCCTGGAGGGGCCTGGCCGGGCTAGAACCCAGTTGCCATCTCAGGCCACTCAATAAGGCGTCATTGACCAGAAAGGACGTTCCGCAGGCCTGTGGGCCCATCTTCCTGCCCCAGAAGATTCCCTGCTCTGCACACACCTCCTCCAGTCTCAGGGTCACTGAAGTTGGCTCACGCCCCACTCCTAGTTGCCTGAGGTCTGGGCACTGGGCCACTTCTCACCCTTCAGCCAGAGTTAAACATTAGTGGGAGGCTGTCTCCCCGTCTCTGGGGAGGGCAGGGGAATCACACTCACCAGTCTCCTGTGTGGAGCACCAGTTCCGTCCCGAGCCCAGACAATGCCTGTGGAGGAGTTCATGGCTGGCTGGATCTCTGGTGAGACATTTTTCTTCCTTCTATCACATCTAAGGGTAGGTCACTTCCTAGGGATGGTGGATGGGTCACTTCCCAGGGATGTGGGTGACATATGAAGAACCGAGGCTAAAGTTCTGATCCCCCTGGAGGCCCGAAAGCCAGCTGTCCCCAGAGCCTCCTGGGAGTCCYGGGGAAGGAGGAGAGGAGAAGAAGGTACAGGCCAGAGGTACAAGCCCTGCATCCCAAGGCTTCTCCGCCTGACACCCACTACAGCAGAGAGCCGAGGAACACCCTGTACCACAGGTCCCCCCAATGGGGCCAGGTCCATCTTGCAGGGCCCAAAAGGAAGTTCACCTTTGACCTTACCCTACTGTCCTGAGTTCCCCTTTGGGCCTCTGCCCTACCTGGCAATGGGTTGCACCCCTGGGCTCTGAGGCCTGACATGGCGGTTTGTGTACCCAGACTCAGATTCTAGATGACATTCCTCTTGAGAGAAAGGGAAGGACATTCTGAATCCACCTCCTGGGGAGGCAGCCTCAAGCTCCAGAGCAAGCCTGAGCTGTGGAGGATGAGGCTGGGAAGTGGGAGGTGGGGTCTCCTCCCCAGGTGCCAGCCAGATTCCTGGAGGGACCCTCTAGCTCTGCACTGCAGCCCGAGTAGTGAGTGCCAGGGAGGCAGGATCTCTGGAGCAAGGCCTCAACACTGTGAGATGGAGGAAGGTGCCGGGTGGAGATTCCTTCCAGACCCTGTGTTCTATAGTCAGTGTGAACAGCGTCTGCAGTGGGCCCTTCCCTTCTGCATGTGTCTCCTCAGGTGGGGCCTCAGTCCTTCAACCTAGTACCTTCCTGGCCCAGCACATAGCATGGCAGGGTCGGGCAGTGCCAGCTGGAGTCTCCTTGAAGTCTGGAGGGCAGGTGGACAGTCTGAGAAGGCCTAGCCTCCTTCCTCCTGCCTGAATCCCTCTTTCCTCTCACACAGACTTGCTTCCTGGGCCTGGCATGAGCCCTCACTCATAGCACCTTCTTGTCACCACAGGAGCTCTGGGCCTGGTCCTGGGACATCCCTTTGACACTGTGAAGGTGAGTCAGGAGAGGCACCAGAGGACTGGACTGTCTCACTTGAACAGAACATCATGTGGCCCAGATCAGGCCTGGCTGAGAGGGGCTCACCCTGCCTCGCCTACCCACTGGCTTCCTACTCCAAGGGGCAGAGGGCAGAGCTGGCTGCCTGGCATGGATGCAGCCCTGACTGGTTCACCTGCCCCACCTGCCCTGTCCTCCCTATGCAGGTGCGACTTCAGACCCAGACCAGCTACCGGGGCATCATGGACTGTACGGTCAAGATTTACCGCCATGAGTCGGTGGGTGAATCAGCTCTTTGGGGTGGGAGGCTCTGGGGAAGGTGGCACAGGTTTCCTTTYCCTCCCAGCAGGGCTCTGCCCTCCGAAACAAAAGACCACGTTTGGGCTCGTTGGGAGCACTGGGTAGTAGCTTAGCCCCTTCAGGATAGAGCCAGGCCTTCCCAACCTCACCACCCCACCTCCCTGGGATAGGGCTTAGTAGTGGGGAGTGGGGGAGGGAGGAGACCTTGCTGGTCTGGTAAGGGGAGAGGGTAGGCCCGCCGTGCCTACTTCAGTGCCACCCTGTTGCCCCGCAGCTCCTGGGCTTCTTCAAGGGAATGAGCTTCCCCATCGTCAGCATACCTGTGGTCAACTCTGTCCTGTTCGGGGTCTACAGCAACACCCTGCTGGCACTCACAGCCACCTCCCACCAGGATCGGCGGGCCCAGCCCCCCAGCTACACACATGTCTTCATAGCAGGCTGCGCCGGTGGTGTCCTGCAGGTGAGTGGGTGGCACGTGGGCATACACACAGGTGGTACTGTGCTGACCAGAGGGGTCTGTCTCCTCCCTAATCCTCTGGTGACTCAGAGCTACAGATGGGCAGGCCTTGCTGAAGGCCATGTGGTGCTGCTGCTCCTGGTGGCCTAACCAGGCTGCCCACCTGAGGGTGGAGAACAGATCGGGCAAAAGGCAGAAAGAGTTGGTTGGCAGTGCCAAGAGGAGGCCATAGAGGACAAGCTGGAGCCTGCTCTCGAGCTGACAGGACTTGTCCACCTCCAGAGGGGTCTGCCAACCCCAGCTCTGTGGGAAGACTACTCCCCATGGTGACCTTTGACCCTGAACAACAATTAGTCCCCACAGAGCTCAAAGCCCAGCCCTGCCTGGCTGAGGCCCTTGCCCTCAGCAACTGGTGGCCACTATCTGGGAGCCTCACCTGAGGCTCCAGGCCACAGATCTCACTGGGAGAGGCCCAGGATATTAATCATTAAGTCGCTGCAGTCATTTGGTTTTGTTCTCAGCACTGTAGTTCATGGGCTTTTGAGGGGTGGGGTGGAGGCAAGAGGGAATCTGAACAGAAAGAGGCAGAGGGACTGGTTCTGTCCCACACCCCAGCTGGTCACCTGCCTTGATGCCCTTGACACATTTCATGGAGCAGAGAGCAAGACCTGAGGACAAAGTCAAGCTGCATATTAAGTTAATTAATGATTAACGAGACCCCCAGAAGTCTTGAGGATTCTGTCCCTTCTTGTGTGGCAGCCATGACTACCTATCTCTAAGCCCCAAGCTCTATACTCTGCAAAAACAATACAGAGAACCGAGGCGCTCAGAAAGTGGCCTGACTTAGGTCCAGTCAGGCCCTGCTCCTCAGGTGTCTAGAAAGCAAAATAGAGGACAGTCAGGGCCATGGATAGAGACTGGGTCCAAGGGCTGACTGGAGCCTGGGATTCATGTCAAGCCTATGGCTTTGGCATAACAGGTCTTGAAGCAGAATTGTGTCTTAGTGAGCAGGTGGGAGGAAGAGGGAGACACCAACAGCCTCTGACGCGCACGGACGTTGTTCTCGACCTGGCAGAGGCTGACGGCTCACTGGGGAAGGAATACCTGGTGCTCCGTGGCCCCCACCACACAGCACTTTCCTCAGCCCTCAGGAGACCAGGCTCAGGAAACCACCCTGGCCAAGGGCTCAGCTCAGCCAACAGGCTCTGGAGGGCAGCATTAGGGCCTGTCTCACAAAGGGGGTCCCCAGCCCACAACCCTGCCTGCTGAGACAAAAGTAAAAGTATGGCTTGCTGTTTATCAAAACCTACCTCCAGGGCTGATCTCCAGCCCCCTCCACCACCAGCCAGGTCTAAAGCTGAGGAGTTGGGCTCAGGTGGCTCCTCCCAAGACACATATGAGCCTGAGCCTGGAACCACGGTGCACGCCTCCAATCCCATAGGCTCAGGAGCTGAGGCAGGAGGATCGCGAGTTCAAAGCCAACCTCAGCAAAAGCGAGGCACTAACTGCAACTCAGTGAGACCCTGTCTCTAAATAAAATACAAAATAGGGCTGGGGATGTGGCTCAGTGGTCGAGTGCGTTCAATCCCCGGTCACCCAAAACAAAACAAAACAAAACAAAAAAAACCCCACACATGTCCCCAGCAACATGCCACCCTCAGCCTGGACCCAGCTCTCACCTGAACTTCAGCAGCTTATCTGAACAATGCGGTGTGTCCCTGACCCAACCCCACCCCTCCCCCTCCTTTCTGTATCCCCTCAGTGCCCACCCTCACCAGGGGCCCTGTCCCATTTCTACCCCAAATCTTTCTTGTCTACCTAAGACAATGACAAGAATTCTATGACCTGCTGAATCCCACCCATCACAGGGCTTGGTGAGAGGCAGGAAGGGCTGCCCAGTGGTGGCCTCAGGCCTCTGAGAGGTGACACAGAGGAAGGAGGAGTAGCTGTGAAGCTGGGCCCTGTAACTAGAACAATGACACTGAGGTGACCTCCTTCACCCTGGGGAGGGCCTGTTCTTTGGTGTTTCATGGTCACAGACTGAACCCTTTATTCAGCCCAGTTACTGCAAATGCCAGCACATCCCTGGGTCTTGGGAGGCCAGACACTCACTCCCACTCCTGGAAAAACAATCCGGGCTTGTCCTCTCGGGCCTGGTGCCTGCCAGGCAAGCTTGATGCTCTGCATGAGGCGGGGACCAAGCCTGATACCCGGGGAGGTAGCCTGTCCTGCTGCATCAGAATGCCCTGGCCCATGCCCAGCCGTGTGTGGGAGAGGGCCCAGTGTGGTCCCCACAGGCTGATGCAGCCCCTCTGCCCATCCTTCCTCCTGTTGTCTTAAGGGACAGTTACCAGCCCAAGCCCTGCTTGTTTCCTTCCCAACAGTCCTACTGCCTGGCCCCATTTGACCTCATCAAAGTCCGACTACAAAACCAGACGGAGTCAAGGGTGCAGCCAGGGAGCCCTCGACCCCGGTACCAGGGGCCTGTGCACTGCACAGCCACCATCTTTCGGGAAGAGGGTCCACGGGGACTGTTCCGAGGAGCCTGGGCCCTAATGCTGAGGGACACCCCTTCGTTGGGAATCTACTTTGTTACCTATGAAGGGCTCTGTCGCCAGTACACTCCAGATGGCCAGACCCCTAGTAAGTGAAGTGGAGAGAGGGTGGGGGGCTGGGGAGGGAGGGGGTGCTCTTTTTCCCATCTGACCCCACCCTGGGCTTCCTCTACCCCAGGCTCAGCCACAGTGCTGGTGGCTGGGGGCTTTGCAGGCATTGCCTCCTGGGTGGCAGCCACGCCCTTCGACGTGATCAAGTCCCGGATGCAGATGGATGGCCTGGGACGCAGAGCCTACCAGGGGTTTCTGGACTGCATGGTGAGCAGCTTCCGGCAGGAGGGACTAGGGGTCTTCTTCCGGGGGCTTACCATCAACAGTGCTCGTGCCTTTCCGGTCAACGCTGTCACCTTCCTCAGCTATGAGTATTTCCTGCACTCACGGGGATGAGCCTGGCGGGCACTGCCAGCAGCTCCCCCACAGGACCCTGAGGGCAAGACGGGAAGCCAAGCTGAGAGCACCTAGCTTGAACTCAAATGCAAGGGGCTTGGCCTCTCTGAGGCCCGGCACCTCCAACTACCCAGACCAGGCTGCAGGACACCTGAGCAGAAAGCCATGATCTTGGCTTCTACCCAGCACCACTCACCTGGACTCCTTTTCTTCCCTGAACCAGGAAGCACAATGGTGCTGGTGATAGCCCAGCCCCAGTTCCGCCAGGTCCCGTCTTTTTTTTTTTTTGGTATGAGGTATTAAACCCAAGGGCATTTAATACCTCAGCCACATCCCAGCCCTTTTTATTTTTCATTTTGAGACAGGGTCTCAGTAGGTTGCTTACAGCTGTGGAGGCTGGCTTTGAACCTGTGATCCTCCTACCTTGGCCTCCTGAGTTGCTGGGATTTCAGGTGGGCACCACCGTGTCTGGCTGCCATGTCCCCTCTTCAGGAGCTCCCAGAAACTGGAGGTGGCTTCCACCCCACCCTCCCACTGGGGTCCAGTAACAGCACACTGGGTTCTTCTTCCCATCCACTCCTTTCAAAGCTCTCCTCCCATGACTGTAGCGTGGTGTGACCTTTTGTCCATCCCCATTACCTTGGGGAAAATTCCAAACCCCACCACTACCTGGCCGTCCCTCCCCACTAGGCTTTCCTCTCCCTTGGTCACTTCGTGGACATGAACAAGCTGTGTTCACTGTGGCCCAAGCCTGGGAGGCTCATCCCCGCTGGCCATCGGGGGCAGTGATTCCTCAGCTGACCCCACTGTCCTCCAAGACACAGCAGAGCACTGTCTCCAGGGTACTTCCTGCCCTGCCCACGCTGACTCTGAGCTTCCAGGGCCCCCAGCCCACCTGCACTGCTATGTGTTTGATTTGCTACTTGGCTTCTCCATTGGTATGTGAGCGCCTTGTGTCTCTCAGCACAACCCCAATGCTTGAACAGATGTATTCACTAAGTGCTCATTAAATGAAATGCTGATTGCACCCCTGACCTGTCTCCCGACTCCAGCCACCACACCTGCTCCCTTGGTCCTGCCACACACAGCTGTCTCCTGTGCCTCCCAACCTCCATTTGCATGCCCTGACCTCTCCAAGTCATCTCCAGGGAAGGGGTGCAGAGGTTGGGGTTCTACCTCATCCACACCCATCCCACATCTTCTCTTCCCATCTCACTTGCCAGGTGGGAATTAAGAATTGGCTAAGAGGATCCCTTTCGTTGACAATAAAGCTCAACAGAGCCTGTACCCACACTAATGTCCTAATCTGGTCTGCAATCAACCTGAGGCACCCTGTGGTGACTGAATTCCTGCCATTGGTTGGGTGCCCCCTGTAGACCCTATCCCATGTAACTGTCACAGTTTACAGAGGAGGTGGCCTTGGCTCAGAGATATTTTGCAACTTGTCCCAGGTCACACAGCTCAAAGTCACAACTTGCCTGGATGCATCTGAGCCTCCAATCCCAGAGCCCATTTCCTTTGTACCTTGCTCCACCTAGCACTTTGGCTATCTCCATGAGTCACCTAAGTTCCAACTGACGTAGGCCACACCTGCCAGGACTGACCCTCTATGTGCTCATCAGAACCCTCCTCCATGCCTGTATGCTGGCGGCCATCTTGAAGGTTCTCCCATGCTCAGAGCGTGGCTGGGCAGGTGGCCCTGAGCAGGGCTGCATTTTCTAGCCTCCCTTGCAGCTAGGGTTTCTTTTCTTTTCTTTTTCTTTCTTTCTTTCTTTCTTTCTTTCTTTCTTTCTTTCTTTCTTTCTTTCTTTCTTTCTTTCTTTCTTTCCTTCCTTCCTTCCTTCCTTCCTTCCTTCCTTCCTTCCTTCTTTCCTTCCTTCCTTCTTTCCTTTCTTCCTTTCTTCCTTCCTTCCTTCCTTCCTTTCTTTCTTTCTTTTTTTGGCAGGGGGTACCAGAGATTGAACTCAGGGGCACTTAACCCCTGAGCCACATCCCCCGTCCTATTTTCTGTGTTTTATTTAGAGACAGAGTCTCAGTGAGTTGCTTAGTGCCTCACTTTTTGCTGGGGCTGGCAATCCTCCTATCTCAGCCTCCCGAGCTGCTGGGATCATGCCCGGCAGGGTTAGTATTTTGTTACAGAAACAAAGCAATGTGTGCAAATTTCCCCTCACTGGCTCCAAAGGAAAATCCTTCCAGTTGGTAGAAGTGACTAGACTGACCCTATAAGGTTGTTGCCAAAGATGCAGGAGGTACCCTGCTGGCCTAGAACCTGGGTGAGGCCCACAGCCCACCTCTCCACTTCACCCCAGCTAAGCCAGGGTTAGGGGCCATGAGTATATAGTCTAAGCTAATCCAAGTGTGTTGTGTGGGGGGCAGCTGAGCCAGGAAGAAGGTCCTGCCCACTTCACACCCGCCAATCCAGATCTCTGGGGACAGGGTCCAGGAATCTGTATTATAGAAAGCTTTCCTGGTGATTTTTACTCACATGAAAGTTTAAGAATCAGTGTTCCAGGTGTTCCTGAACAGAAATGTGCTGCCCTGTCAAGCTGAGAAAGTTGTATGGTAGGAGCCTTTGAACTAGTTTTTAGAAATCTCTGTTCCTCTTTTGGAAAACATAGTCACCTTGAGACCAGTTCTCAGGTGACTTGAGACTAGCACAGCCCTTTCTGCTTTCTGCCTCAGTTTTCTCTCTGAGATTCCCTTCGGGTAAGGCAGTTTGGGGCTGGTACAGTGCCACTGCAGTACCAGGAGTTTCAGGCTGGACAGGGCAGTGGGGGCACAGCCGGCTGCTCTGGGAAGTAAACTGTGCACACGTGGAAGAGGAGATGGCTTTTATAAACGGCAAGGAGGGGACAGAAGAACCTGAGTGACCCTTTGTAGTTTGCAATTTCTCACCAAATGACAGCGATCAAGAGTAAAATCAAGGAATCCTTATTTTTAAAAAATCCTTTTGGAGTAGTAATTGTGCCTGTACATCTGGCCTTCCATTTTTCTTTTCTGGTTCTACCCAGAGGCTCTGGCAGGGCCTGGACTCATAATTTAGAACGAGAGGGGGACATGGCAGGGTGCAGGAGGGGCCACCGAGTTCCAGGTGCCGGTCCTTTCCACTCACGCACAGCTGGGCTGCTGTGGGGGCTGTGAGGTCCTCAGGGTGAAGCAGGGAGCCATCTGTGGTAAATCTGCTCCTCTTGCATGGGGGAGCGCAGGGAGAGTCAGGCACCGATAGAAAACTGAAAAACCAACAAAGATCAGGCAGGAAATGACTCAAGTTTTTTCATTCTCTTTTTCTCATGCTGGGGATGGAACCCAGGGCCTTCTCTGTTCCGGGCGAGCCAGCGACTACTGAGCTGCCCCCCAGGCCGGGGTGGCCTTTATGTTCAGGAACTCTTGAGAGAGCAATCTCTAGGAAATAGGACTCTGTCGGGGAAGTGGCTTTCAGGTTACCAAGGGGCGGGGAGGCTTGGCGTACAGAGCTGGCAACTCAGACCAATATGTTAAGTAGAGTCCCGTAGGACTTGTGTGGTCAGATGTCATACTTAGTTTTATAGCAGTGGCTGAGGAGCTCCAGGGGAGACTCAGGCATGGAGTGCCACAGTGACTACATATAAAGGGGAGAGGGATGGAGCTGGGGCTGTAGCTCAGTGGTAGAGCGCTTGCTTTGCACGTATGAGGCACTGGGTTCGATCCTCAGCACCGCATAAAAATAAATCAAGATAATGTGTCCATTTACAACTAAAAAAATATTTAAAAAAATAAAATAAAATAAAGGGGAGAGGGCACAGCCAGGGGTGACTGGCTTAAGTTTACCACACTCACTCAACAGCTAGGCCCAGAAGATTCAGTCTCTGGATGTGACTCCATTGATGTCCCCAGCCTGTCCCCAACCTGCACCAGGCCCATCCTGGTGCCTCTTGTATCCCAGAGGTGCTTCGCATTACACCCCTAGCCTGGCCCTTCTGCAGAGCTCAAGGTCACAGGTGTCCCAAAGCAGCTGTCATCAACACAGACCAGACCCATTTGTGTTTTTCCACAATGTCACTATTCATTGAATGACAGCACATTGACAAGCTACACCATTTCCACAAGGGGCAGTTCATTGAATCCTTGTGGGTCACCTGGTTCATAAGCCCAGCAATCACAAGTTCTCTTATTCCCATCTTAATTTCTAACATCTGTAACACTCAAGTCACCCACACCTCACACAGTGATGTGGGTGGGATACAGAAAGGCTAAGAGAGGGTCAAGGGAGCCACAGGGTTCAGAAGGCAGAGAGCAGGTACAAGGCAAAGAGTCCTTAGGTAGTCAGATAAGATTAGGAGCAGCCAAAAGCTGGTTCAGAGCAGTCGAAGCTTAGGAAGTTATTCTAGGCCAAGGTCTGGACAGACCAGGTGGCAGTTTCCAAGTCAGTTTGGAGTGGGCCACGCATGGTCACAGGCAGAAGGAACCACACTCTGCTAAAGAGACCAAGGGCAGAGATTCAGAGGTTCATCACTGTGATTTTCCTGATGACCAGAAGATGGGGTGTCCAGTCTCGGGGTGCTTCTCCTTTTTTATGGGCCTCAGGTGAAGGGGTTCCTTCCTTTGGTGGTCTGGTGTGTTCAATAAGCTCGGGAGCCTGTTTTATTCCAATATGAGTTTGACACGCCCATGCATCCCTGTGCTTCTGATAACTCACTAGGTCATTCTATTAGCGCAATTAACTTATTTATTGCTTTATGCCTCTGGTTGTGCCAGGCAGATGGTGGTTGTCTACTTATACAAACAAGGTGTGGAGTCCTTCACCCTTGGCACTTAAGCTCACGACAAACAACTGCTTTACAAAGTGGAGTCGCTGAGGTTTAGGCACAGCCTGAAAACTGCTGTTCCATAAGTTGTGGAGTAACTCAGGGCAGGGCACAGCAGCTCTCTCCTCTCCTCTCACATCAGAATCCCTAACTCCTGCTGATTGTACTTTGAAGTTTTCTGGGGTCTACTCCCTCATTTCCAATCCTAATATCACAGCTCCAGTCCTGTCCTGAATCTGAACAAATAACTATTGAAATGGAATTCTGATCAAGTCACCCTGCTCTTCAGTAGCTTCCCTTTGCTCTAAGGAATCATGTCTACTCCTTTCCCCAGCCTGCAGAACCTACATACATTCACTTGCTCTTGTCTTGGGTCCTTAATACTGGGCTTCTTCCCACCACAGGACATTTGCACATGTTCTTCTCACTACTTACGGACCTTCCACTCATCTTTCAGCTCTAAGTTCCATATAGCTTCCTC